TGATTAAAATATACGATTTTGCCGAGTAGGACGTAGCGAAAATATTTGGTTTCATAATTAGCACAGAAAGCCAAAAACTTGTAATAGCATCGTCCGCAGATGTGCGTGAAATGTACGAAACATTAATTTAGTAAAGTATAACCACTCTCATACCGTCTCGCCTGTCAGATTATGGGCCTTTCGCATTTTAGGGGAGGACTCCAGATCGTAAAACCTTCAAGTCCTAGACGGAACAGCGTCAAAATTTCTCTTTTCTTTGATCCTATGGTGAGGGGGCATATTGCATCTCCGAAAAGTCAATAGAGTTGACCATTAACAAAATAGTACTAATACAATTTAGACGCCTTTTCGGTGGGATTTACTCTGCAGTCGGTCCGAGTCTTAATTTTATGTTTTTATAAAAGGTTTTATGATTTCTGACAGACCCAACCGGCCGAATTTGGGCGTTTAGAGCAGTTGTAAAATGTTCCAAAAAGGTAAATGTTTAACGACGATCGGACTTTCTTTATATACACTTAAATTGACCATAAAGTCAAATTACTTTGTATTTAGTGCCGCACACAAGGCGGGTAGTGCAGGTAGTCGCAACGAATATCATTTGTGTTGATTGGAATTTTATTCTAATTCAGATGATTAAGAATTCTGGACGATAAATTACGTTTACGACTGCAAGTTGCAGGCTCGTCTCCGTGTATGCTTTACAATGGGGGGGTTATGAATAGAGCACTAAATAGTAAACGTCGATAAAAGATAATTTTAACGATAAGTTACAAAAAAATCAAAGCGTGATTTAAATCGGCAACGACAGGCCGTGTTTAGAGAGAGAAAGCAATCGCTCGTCAATCAGATAAAAAGAAACAGACATGTAATAACGACCTGCCTTGTTCCGAACTCCTTAATTATCTTTCTTTTATCTCGCATCTCATAATAGAGTTTAAAATTCTTTTAATATTTCCTCCGGCCAGCGAGTTGTAGATTTTAATTACATGACGGATCGCAAATTTTTTTGCATTTCAATCCGTTTCAATTGAAAGCTGGAATTTATTTTCAGTCTTCTTGATTCTTCTGAAATGATAATATCTTTCACGTCTTCTCTTTGTAATTTACATTTTTTATAATTGGGTTATTTTGCAATATAATACCGTAGGTTCTTAAAATATAAACTAGGTGCAATTTACCTGATGCCTGTAATAAACGAAGACAATAGCCAGGTAGATAACAAAGACTTCCAAAGTAGATCTGGCCTTTGTTAAAACTTCTACTATAATTAATGAGTTTTCACCATCTACAATTAAATTCATTTACGTATAAAGATGCATCATATTTTAAGTGCTCTAAGCCTTGACACAATGAAATGAACAATAATGTATGTTTTTGCAATAATTTATTTTTACTGTTACAGTTACAACACAGCGATACAATGTCTGCATTGTTTGAGGATTTTAAAAATAGGAGATGAATACTAGAGAACATAATAAAAGTTATTTTAGCATTTAACACCATGACGGACTTTTGTGTGATCACAGTGATTATAAATAAACAAGATTATTATTACAAAATTCATATTTTTTCACTAATTCTTGAATGAATCATATTTTGCAAAACGTTTTTGATGACAAAATAATTCACCACAAAAATCTAATTTGGTATGAAATGCTCACATGCTTCATTAACAAGGTTAGCATCATCAAGATGTATACTCGTTAAACCGAACATGGGAAAGCTGACTCATAACCATAGATTTTTAAATTAGCTTAAAAGTTTGTGAACTATAAGAGTGTTATAAAAAAGTGATAATCATTTTTTCCAGAAGTGCCAGCCAGCGACTGCGTCAGACAGGGTCCATATGAAAGGGCAAAGTTCACATGACCGCAGTCTTAGCAACGTTGTCCTCACAGTGTGTTTAAAATGGTCGCGTCAATTCCAAGTTCGCGGAAACAAAATTCTGTTTCTTTACTAAAGAGAAACTGTCGCTATAATTTATTCCAACAATTTGTTCTGTTTATGGTGAAGACGTTACGAACAAGCAAATTGTAGCAAAATTGCCTCGGTGGAATTTGAAACGGTAAAAATGATGTTTATGATGAAATCGTTAAAAAAATTGATGAAAATATGTACGCTGGCAGAGGTTGTAACAATTTTTTGTTATGGTGTTATCAACTTTTTGGTGAGAAAGAGCAAACGCATGTGTCAGCGATATAAGAAAAGTCAAAAATGGTAGTAAACTATTAAATGACAATTAAAAGAGTGCCTCAAAGTTTAAGAATACTTAGAAGTAAGGTAATCAGTTTTTGTAGGACTAAAAAGATCTTGGACTATTTTAAAATTTTAATCTAATCGATATGCCTAAATGAAAATTATTTATTAGTAAAGATCTACCACATGCTGAATTTTGTTGGTAACTTGTTAATTCTATATAAAATTATATGTAAATAATATAAATGAAACATTGTTTTGGTTCTAGACTTACGTCAGTGTTAGAGCTTAGAGTCTATCAACGAATCCTAATCTTTCCCTTTATTTTTAACATTTTTACTTCCCGTATGTAAGCGAAGGAAGTTTGAAATCGAGTCCGTTGGCCGACTCTCTATTTTTACGTTTTCTCGACCTTTCATGCCCCTAAAGTACGAAGAAATAGGTCTCTCGTTTCCGACTATCTGTCCGTCTGTCTGCCGTCCCGGATTTTTTTATTTATCTTATACAGTTGTAGTTAAATTTACCACAGACACTGTCATTAAACCAAAACTATCAACGACATATCCATTTATTACACTGTTTTGTACTAATGTACTGGCACTTGTATGAGAGATCTAGTATATCATGAAATATATTTTTTAAATAATGATCTTGGCATTGCAGTTATTTAACATTTCATTCGACAGTTATTTGTCCATAAATCTCAAACTGATTACCATGAGCAAGGGAAGCGTTGGTGTTGCCAACACATTTTTTTAACATTAAATTTCAAACGTTGTTAGACGATTTTTTTTCACATTCGTGTGGTGTAATAATTATTTTTACATAAACTGAATACTTCGGATGTGTCATGTTTTCATGTCTGCAGTAATAATAGCACGTAGCAAAGTCATTGATAATACAAGTAAATAAATAGAAAATAATACTTAATTGTCGACATTAGTGTCTTAACCTAACCAATTTTCTATAAAAAATCGAATTAATATATTATTTCGACAAAATTATTATTCTGGATTTGATTTATTTTATGGGTTGGTATACAGAGGGCGGTCCTCGATATCTCTGTATATTAAAATTTTATTTAATTGATACCACAACAAACCGCGAATGTTTTTTATCCTTCCACAAAATATTGTAAGACAGATTTTAAAGAAAGTTGGAATAACCTGGCAACGTCAACTAAGAAGAGGTCAATCAAAATATCTAAAAATATATAGGGTGTTTCATTTAAAAGAGCTAAGTCGTGATTACCCCTTAAAAACACGGCTACTCTCTATAGCTAAAAATAATTTTAGAGTATAGTCCTCAAAGAACCGTACAACTTTGCTCTTTCACTTTTTTTCTATTTGTAATAATTAATGAGATGTCGAGGAACGCACGCTTAGTGACTCACCCGGTATTTTCGACACAGGTTCAACATTGTTAAGCAGCATACATACCTAATTTTGTAGCAGCTTATTCCACTAACAATACAGTAGGCATCGTTTTGTTTTATCAAAAATTTGTAAATTTACCGAATAAATTAAAAAAATTAAGTTTGACTGCAATTATACACGCATAACTGAAGCCGCCAAACTTTTTTTTTTGAAATGCCATAAGTTTTGCCGGTGGGTGGTCTAATCGGTTGAATACTTTTTGGAATCAGATAAGAGTTAGGTTCTCTTTCTAACAGCTATCAGAGTTATATTTACAAATTTAACGCTCTAGAGACAAAAATGCTAAGCTTTAATCTCGCTTATTTTAACCTAGTTGCTATACTTATTCCTCTTTAGTGATGAAAACATTTTCACGTAATTTATTAACGCAATAAGCAAATAATTCTAAATAAAACATTAAATTTATTTCAGTATCACGTCTCGATGCTTATATTTAGGCAGTGCTCCCATTATCTCCTACACACTTTCGAGAAAAAATGGTGTTCTGATATAACATTCACAACTTAATGAATCTCGGTTTTAATATAGTTAAGCTAAATATATATGCACGTATATCTCAAACTTTATGTTACAGATCGTCCACATACTTATAATACGTTAAATACTTCCAATCAATTACCATATAGTATGAATAAATAGCAGATCAACTCTCACGTCTGTAGAAAAATTCATTTCTTGAAAACTGGCAGTACGAAGGAATTTGTGAATTGCTGTCATCAGATAATAGAGCAACAATTTAACTGGCGAAACTTCAAATAAAATATGACTATTGTAAACTACACATATAGACTATGTATTAGGCATCAAAAAGTACCTTCTAAACTACCTGGTATTAATAAACGTAAAACGATCATATTTTTCAAAATTTTGTTTAGTTTATCCGATGGCCATTTTGAATTAAATTTTTCAAATCAATATATAAGATCTAACGTAAGTCATGCTTTGTTTATTTATTATTTATTTAAAACTTTTACAATTTTTTTAGTGTTTAACTGAAAAAGTACTTGATTTTTTGAAAACATTGTGAAGTATGTCTAAAATAAACCTAAAACCGACAACAGTATCTTCTATCAAAAAAGCAACGCCAACTTGATGTCTTTTTACTTAACTTTAGGGTGCAGTAACGATGCATTTTCAACAAAGTATAAGGAAGTAAGTAAAGTAAAAATATGGAATAAAAATATATATGCTTCATGTATCATTTTTCATTAATGCAAGCTTTAAAAAATATATTTGAAAATATAGACTAAGGATTGCCCTCTATCGGGTAATAGCAAAATGAATTTAACGCTGACTTGGATTTCCACCTAGATTGATAACAGTGCCAAAACAATAACTAAAAAGTATCTAAATTTATTGAACCGGTTTAAACAAAAACACGCATTATAATTGCAAATAATTACATTCCATTTCAAAAATATTTTGTTGAGATTATTAGTTGTTTACAATCGCCTGCTGGTTATAATTACTTTTGGGTGTAATACGTGCTGTTTAACGTTTTCTTAGTGTGGCGACACTGCAAATTCTAGAATTTCGTGGTTAGGTTATGTTTCATCGATAAATTACTGCATTTAAAAAGTATGATTCTTTTAAAACTGCAAGTAATTGTCTAGTGTAGAATGACAAAATATTATTATCTAGATATTTCATTGTTAGTATATTTTACCAAATTAATGAAAACCGCTGGTCTTTTCCGTAAAGGTTACTTAAGTGTTTTTTGTCTTTTCCAGGAAAATTCATAATGACGTTGATTGTGAAGTAACACCGGAGTATTTCAAACAAAATATCATCAGTGCCATTAGACAACTATTTGGAGAGGTCTCAGCGTGTGTTGATATAGACATCTTGAAATATAATTCTATCTCAAAACGTGCTGTCGTACGTGTACCTGGCGACTATTACGTTAAAACTCGTAGCAGCTTAACCCTGTGTGGAAAGTATCAGGATACCGCTTGCTCTTACCAAATTCACAAAGCAAGTCCAGTATTATTAAACCTACAAGGTGACAGTCGGGATTATACATTTTAAAATAATGTCTTTCTGCCAAAGGCTAGGCCCTGATGGCAAAGATATTGTAATATTTGCGACAGCTGAAGATCATAAGACTCCAAGTACAGTTACTTTACCAGAGCCGGATCAACAGCCTGGGTTAATTTTACCAAATGGCGATATAAATTGGAATTGTCCTTGTCTAGGTGGAATGGCCACAGGTCCATGTGGTGTCGAATTTAGGAACGCGTTTAGTTGTTTTCATTATTCAGAAGCAGATCCAAAAGGTATGTGTGTTTTGTTTTTTTCAGTGGAAAATGTAACTATCTGTTTTTTTTTTGGTAGGTAGTGACTGTTATGACCTTTTTAAAACCATGCAGAACTGCATGCAGAAATATCCCACTCTCTACAATAAGGACCTAGCTGATGATGAGGACTTCAGTTCGATGGATTCAGATAAAAAGGATTCACCTGATAAATCCTCTGAAAAATCGGATAAGAAGTCCTCTTAGGAACTATATTAAAAGTAACTTAGTTGTTTTATAGTTTAATTAAGGAGAGATTTTTACTATTTCCTCCAACATTTTTTTATTGTTACATAAATGGTATTACAATAATGTAACAATTCAAAAAATTTTTTTTTAGATTTTCATTTTTTTATTGAGTAATGATTCACATTGGTTACTCAGTTTGGAGAATGAAGTAGTAATGAAGACTAAAAGTGTTTGTCAAGCAAGTAATTGCAGAAATGTAACTGATTTTTTTTTGTAATAAAAGATTTTGTTATTATGTGTACATTTGTTTGTTCTATTCATGTATTTTACGCTTCTGGTAGTTAGTAATGATAATTCTAGTTAATATAATCTCTTTTAGAGAGTAAAATAGTTTTTAGATGTAAAATCAATAGGTGGTATAATTATGAAAATTAATCGTAATTCAATGAATTTTAGCCATTCAGGTAGGGATATGCGACGAGGTAAAATAGCATGTGTTGTTAAAAATACTAAAATATAAGGAAAATGTGAATACAATATGAAAAATATTAAAAGTGCAAAAATTAATCTGATCTTAATATGGGGCAAAATTTTAGGTGAAGCTTTAACTGAATATAAAGAGTTTAAAGATGTTTGTAATTAAAATTTGTTATAATGACCTGCATTATTCGTATTAATAAAACAAGTTTTTATAATATGATACGTAGCATGATAAAAAAGGAAAATAACAAATCAGACAGCTTAATTAAATCTTTTGTTACAGTAATGGTTTGATGAATAATTGTGTTCAAAATGGCACTAGTGCAACAAAGCTTCAGAACGAGTGCTTTCATCGTCCGTTTAAGCCGGGCCTACTCGACACCAGTCGAAAAAGACATTAAAAAATCAGTATTCATCTCGCAATCCAAAGACATTTACACCAATTTAGCCCTTGAGGACTGGCTCTACCGCAACTTCGATTTCACAAACCACCACGTTCTCATGCTCTGGCAGAACGAACCGTGCGTCGTTATCGGGAGGCACCAGAACCCCTGGCTCGAAGCCAACGTCTCAGAACTGAACAACATCTCTGAAAAGGGGGTGAAATTGGCGAGACGCAGTAGCGGAGGAGGTACAGTTTATCATGACTTGGGAAATCTCAACATGACTTTCTTCACTGGGAGAGAACAGTACAACAGAAAATATAACTTGGAGATCGTCACCACGGCGCTGTTCAGGGAGTATGGACTCAAGCTCGAGATATCATCCCGACAAGACCTCACTCTGCGCAATTGTAAAGTATCTGGAACGGCCGCTAAATTAGGCAGACCCAGCGCTTACCACCACTGTACCCTTCTGGTCAACTTCAACAAAGTTAACCTCAGTCAGGCCCTCCAAAAACTGGACGCTGGCATCCAAACAAACGCGACCAAATCCATTAAATCAAAAATAATAAACTTGTGTGAAGAAAATCCCAAACTCGACGTATCTTCGCTCTATAGAGCCGTTAGTTGGGAATATTTACGCACCCAGGCCTTATCTGTCAAAGACGGTGGCTTGGAACTTGCCACCAAACAAAAAGGGTTTCAGATGATCAACCCCACAGAGCAATGGTTTCCGGGTATCGATGCACTTACAGATACCTTTCAAGGCTGGGAATGGCGTTATGGCCGAACTCCAAAATTCACAATAACACGTTCGTTTACGGTTCCGGATAATTTGCTCAATACTGACGTTCCAGACGATTCGAGAGTAACCATGGTGGTTGAACATGGCAAAATCAGCGACGTGAATTTGTTCTTTCCGCCAGGTTTAGCAGCAAATGGTTTTAGCGGTAATGTAAATGTTGTAACGAGTCTCATTGGTCACAAATTTTCTGAGGAAGCTTTAGATTATTTAGAGTGGTCTGTTGGGACTTTGATTAGCGTTAAAGATAAATTTGTTACAGACTGTGTAAGACAAGTCATGCAATCTGTATAGCGTGAGGTTGGACAGAAAGACAAATAATGTTCTGTTTCTAAACGTACTACGACGGTACCAGTTTCCTTTTGCCAGTGCCATTTATTGTTTAGTTAGTATTTCGGTTAAATTTGTTATTTTTTGATGTGTTATTATCTTTAGGTTAAAATGAAAACCGTTCTGAACGGTCAACAAAAATTAATCATATCATTTATAACTTACTTATTAATTGACTATGTTTTATAACTTAATGGATCTGATTTTTGTAAATATTTTTTTAGTCTAATTGAGTAGGTGGTACTTATATTAAATCTTTATGGATACAGAGTAATAAAAAACATGATCAAATACAGTCATCGATTTTCAAACATTTTAAAAAGATGAAAATCGTATCAAAGACAAATCTACAAAAATCATGGCTGCGTTTGATAGTGTTTTTTTGCTCCCTCGGTATGATCATGACCTAATCAAAATATTCTTCGTTTGTTTTGTATAGGCAGTTGAAAACATAAAACAAAATGATATAAAATGTAGATACTTCTTATCTCGTATTCAATTTTAATTGTTTTTTCACTTGGAAAATGCTTTTACACGTGCATCTAAAAATCATTTTGTCCTATATGTAGGTATAGTGTGACGATTAATGATTGTGAGAGTTATACTAGGTCATGACAGCAATGAATTAATGATTGCGCATAATGCTGAGAATATAAAAATGTGATCCCAAACTCTGATTTCTGCCCATACATTCAATAGAATTTTTAGAAGAAAACATTTCGATTCACGTTAGAAGATAAAACCATCCGACAGATCTGCTGGACTTTAGAAAAATTGGGTTTTGAGTACTCTTTCACTCTACTCTGGTTGTTTAGAAATTACTCTCCTGTTTGACATCCGGAATATGTGCAACTATCGTTTTAACATAGGAATTAACCGTAAAAAAATGAGGCAAGAAGCAAAAGTTAAAGTCGTAACTGTGTGTTCTGCTATTGAAATATTCGTTAGGAGTAATCAACTGAGTAAAAAAATTGAGTATGATACCAAGAACAACATTTAACCAGTGTAAAAGACATCGTTTGAAATCATTCATTAAGCGATTCACACTGCTAAGAAAGAATGGAGAAATAGATTTCCAGAAATCAGAAAATTTGCTAACAACCAAATCTCTGACCCTAAGGAATATTTTCTCATAAGAGAAGGCAATGACGTATTGCACTTTGTTTTTAAACATTTAACTTGTCAAAAAAGTTGTTGTGTTAGGGCTATGTTTACATCTTTGTCAGTTTCTGGAAGAGTCTGATCATGATAATCACCGGGAAACTAAATCAGAGTGATATTTGAACATACCTAGGTTATCAATCGAAGCTCGTGGAAGTAGGTTAAAAAATAAAAGATTAACCAGTATGCTGCAATTCTACAGTGAAATAAATATTTAAGTGTTGTATATCACTGCAATTGAAATTTAACGGTCCGTCACAATACGTTAAAGGAATATAGGTTTGCGCGTCAAATTTGAAATGTAATAAATTAAGTCTTCACCTTCAAGTTACAAACAATGGAATTTACAGAATTTCAATATCTCTATCCGCTCTCAAGATATAAGGCCGCGAAGATTAACTGGTTCACTCTGTATAAAAACTAATAGATTATGACAACCTGTGGAAGGGGTGTGTTGTGTAAATTTAAAATTTGTTTTTTTTCGGACTGATCCTACTACAATACTTTCTTCTGCTATTGCTGCCATTGTTAAGGAAATAAGTGTGGTTAAATAATTTTTTGTTCTAAATTAGCTGTATATTTAATAAAAATATCTTGTTTCTTTATCTCTTTAAAAATAATAATGTTAACTTCACTTAACAGTTGAAACCCGTAGTTATATGGTCGTCAGGTAAAATTTAATCGATATTTTTTTAATGTAAATTTGTATTACGTTAATTTATATAAAAATAAATTAAAAAAAAACAAACAATGTTTTAATGCTGTAATGGAGAAAAAAATTGTTAAAGAAATGAATTGCTATATTGCTAATGTAATTTACTCTGGCGACATATAACTCTAGAAAATTTAAATAACAAACATTAATATTGTTTTATAATTACAATGGAAACATTGTCAGATGTCTATCAAGACGAATAACAGTAATTTAATTCTTGTAAATTATGTGGTATTTGTTTTGTGGATGGTGTTTATACTTTATCGTATATTACACACGTGAGTATGTAATTAAATACCGAATAATTTACTGCAAGTATCATTTGAGTAATTATTACATTCGTGCTTTTCATGTTGAGAAATTTCATGGAGAAATATAAATATAACTTACTGGTATTGCTAGCGGTATACTTCACAATAATTTTATTTAAAAAAGTGTCAAGTTAATTAAAACAAGATAATCGTATGACAAATAGTTGTAAGCTAAATTCTTCTACCCCACTTCGTTGAAAACTATAAATAACAGAAATGCATAAATCAAGTCCCAAACAATCTTCTTCCTCCAAGGTTGTTGTGTCGCAATCGCAAGCCGCAAGTAGTGCTTCGAGTTTTGACTTTCCCGCCACTCCATAGTTGGTGTTTACTCCAATAGCTGTCAGGAAATGCAGTTCATGTTGTGGAACGAACGTCACAAACTGAAAGTTAATGTTCTCTTCGGAAATTGTTATTAGTGGTGTTTGATGAGTGCATTTTGAATAAACAAAAGTAACAACAGTGTCCTTCCTTAGCAGTGCCTAAGAAGTACACACATAAATCATGGAGACAAAGCAGAAAGCAGCCCCCAAAGATAAACGCAGGTTAGTACCAGACGAGGACTTCTTTCTGGTGATTCCGGGGTAATTAGTCAATTATTGCTCAATCAAATCGTTATTTATCAGTATTTAGGCTCGTTAAACCCAACAAAATTGTTGTGATGACATTGTCAAGGGTATTATAACCGTGTATATTTTTACATGAAAATTTTGCTTTTATTGCAAAAACAATGCAACCCACTTTCCCCACAAAAGTGCATAATTTGTTCTAAGACACAATTAGTACGTTTTGGAAAATGAGGGTTTTTTTTACTTGGCTCCAGAAACGTTTTGTGGCTTTGTGGTAATTATTAGACGTCGTCTGGGAGCTGAAAACACCATTGGGTAATCCAACAGATTGGGCAATTTTCTGTTCCCACATAAACTAATTCTTGGAATTCAGCGTTTGTCTGCCCCCATTATTTGTGAGTAAAATGGAACGACTAACATTTATTATTGTCAAGCTAACATAAAACAAATGCAGTTTCATCCTAATCATATGATAACATATCAAAATTCGGTGACATTTGTGTAGTATATTTCCATTGCCAGGAGCTAAATATTCTTCATGTTTCACTAATTTCGACTTTTCTTTGACGATTTATGGTGTGATGTGTACAATGCGTGGCCTTTTCAATTTTTAGTCATGTGATATGGTTGATTTTGCTTGTTATTTGCTGATTAATGGGTAATTTTTGATAAAAAATGAGTCGTTGGTTCAACAGGTTTTCAAACTTAGTTCGAATTTTGCAGTTTTTTGATAAATATTATTTATTGTTTGTTATTTATTAAATTGTTGCATCATTGCCAGAAAACATTTTACACAATGCGGCGAAAATTAATGAGGTGGTTTTACTTATCTCCCTTATATAATAATATTACGATGAAAATTTAGTCGTATTGATATTATGCAGTTTACTCCATTTATTACTCATATTTATCTAAATTGCATGGATGCAATGTGTTTCATCCCACTATGCAAAGAGACTGCATAGAAAGAATTTCTAAAATATGTACTTACTTTTTAATAATATGTACTTTTATTCATTACTTTACCAACATTGAGTAAATAGTACTGTATTAGTTAACGTGAAAGTGCAAATTTTTGCAGTAATTAAGAAAGTTATAGGGTTCATACTGGTTAGAGCAAGACTAGACTAAACTGTTGAATATCCGTTCTTTTTTGTAAAACATTGAAATTTTGTCAATCATGTGCTTATGATAAGTCGATATTCGTTAATATTTTTTCACTAAATTAAGACAAAAATCGAAAACTCTTAGTTGTGGTTTTTGGGTACAAGTGTTTATTCTAAATTTTAAAGAAAAAAGGAATAATTTCTTTGCAAGTCTTCATATAGACAATTAAAATTTCTTAGAAGATGTACGATCCACCCCTCTATTACTGTGACAATTCCTCTGCGATTTTAGAATTAGTTTGTCCTGTTTACACCAAAGTTAATTAAAATTGACGAGTAATTACTCCATAATTGTTTGTTATTGTGATTTATTTGTTATACATGGTGTCACTTCAGTCCACTCGGTTGGTCACATTAAAAATCTGTGAAGTTTATTTATTAATCAGGCTTTTACAGGAATTATAAATAAACTTAGTTGTTAAATAATGCTCTCTTGTCAAAAAAGTGAAAGTATATTGTATACCTACCAACTGTTGACCGAGCCAAGAAACTTTGGGACTGGCCTTAGAGTCGGCCAATCTATGCCAAAGTAACATTCAGTTCTTGTTCTTGCAGGTTTTGATGGCATTTGTGCCGACCAAATTTGATTTTTGTAATCTTCAAACTTCCATATCCATTTTTTTACTTCCCGAGCGTAAACTAAGAAGATATGACAGGGTTCATCCGAAGAATGCTGATTTCATGTTTTCTTGGTGTTTCACGATCTTGAGTATCAGAAAATGTCTGTCTGTTGGTCTGTCTGTCTGTTGTCTGTGTCGATATTTATTAGACATAAACTCTGAAACTCGCTAAAACTACTACGATTGTTTTTAAATTTTATACGTATTCTATTAGTATCGTCTAGATGATGAAACGCTAACCAAAATTTGTCTAATCATCCCCACTGATAATTTGATGACGTAATCTCAAAATTTTGCGTAGTACATGCTATATAAGTTTTATAAATAGTGTACTATAGTTGTGGTTTATGAATTTGCCCTCGTTTTATTTGTTATAATTTTTTTTTATTCAATGTTTCTCGTATAATGCTGGTCTTTAAATACATAGCACCCACCATACGAAAGAGTGGCACGTGCATTCGTTTTGTTTGGAATTCCATTTTTGCCTACCTCAGTTATCTTACCTTCGCCCTCTTATAGTATGTATTATCTTTCGTTGTAAAGGCTTTTCAGTTGTGAGTTGGTTGTTTTTTATCACCTTCCATTCCTTGTCTGCTCTCCAGAATTTTTTCGGAAAACGTCTTTCCTATACTCCCAGCACTTGTATGCATGTTATCAAGGCTCGTTATGCATATACTGTCATGTGTTAGGATAGTTGTAGTTTCCGTATTTGTTTCCTGTAGCTTTGTGAAGAGACCTTCCAGATATCAGCTTACCACTGAAATTTTCGATTATACTCTCCGTCATTCCAAATGATATACTTTATTTTTTCCTGATTTATTTCTAGACCCACTTTTGTTCAATTTTCTTACTGTTGTCTGCCAGTGCTAATAGTGGAGACCGTTTACGATGTATCACTTCGTTAATGTTTAAACTACTGTCATTACTTTCTCTAGTACTATATTAAACAGAACTCTTATCTGAATCCTTTGACTGTGAGCTCTTTGGAATTTGTTCCCTCAACTCTCACTTTACTTTGTGTTTTCCAGTGTCAATCTTGCCAACCTGATTAATTTGGCCTCTATTTTGATTGCTTCTACTGACTTGCACAGCTGTTCACTTTTCAATTGATTGTAAACTTGCTTAAAATCTAACAAATCTGCGTTCTAAATTTGTAATAATAGTTTTCCATTTCTGCTACTATTGACCTTTTTTTGTAGATTGGAAGCATAGATTGGAACTAGAATTGTCCGTGACAATTCACTGTAACTTTCAACTAGCTGCTAGCAATTTCTAATTTTTTTTACTTTTACTTATCTGGTTTTAACTGTTCTACATATTTCTGTAACCTATCTTCACTTTTGTTACAAACATTCAGTGGATTATCCAAACAATTGGCTCATCCTTTCAGTATTTTTAGTTGTTCTTGAACTTATTTTATTCTTGCAGCTAGTGAAAAAAATCTAACTGTGGTTGATTCAGTATGTCCTGGATAAAATAATTTTTACTGTGTACAAACAACGTACCAAAACTACTATTTAATTTTCAAAAGTAATATACATATGGTTTGGCTTCTAGAGCGTAAGTTAGGATGGTTAAGAAGAATTGGGTCATTTTGATGAATGTCTAATTGGTTCGTCTTTTATTTCCGTCTGTGTATCGTCTCTTTGTTGTCTGTCTATCGTCTCTTTGTTGTCTGCCTATCGTCTGTGTCTCGTTGTTTGTTGGGAATTTTATTACACTTGATTTCGCCGTAAGTTCAAAAAAATGCTGCCAGTTTTGTGTAATGATTGCAATATGAATCACAATGGTCACAATTCAAACAAATTAAATGTTATTTTTTGCTCAGGTCTTTAAGGTTTCTATTTTCAAATTTATGGGTCATACGGGTAATAAATCTACAGTTAAAGCTGATAAGAGAGTTTTTCAATAGGAATGTACATACACTCAAATGCATACTGGGTCTTGATTAATGATTTGTGGTAATTGAAGTAGATAACGATTCACTAGACAAATTTGTTTTTAATTATATTTGTTGTCAATAAATATTAACTGCACCAGTAAACATATTTGTTTCAAAATCATGAGTTTTAAAATTTATCGTAAAACTAAATTATCCTATTTATTGTGTTGTAAATGCATTTTCCAAAATTGCGCGAGCGTAAAATTAGCGTGACTAAACAGCGAAGCGAACTTTATAAT